TACATGACATGTGAAGGAGGAATAGCAAGAAAAGTTGTTTCAGGAATAAGGTTTTTTTTTTTTTTTTTTTTTTTTTTTTTTGTCTTTTGTCTTTTTTCTGTGTCCGGCAACGGATCGCAACCCTCAGTGTTGCCCCCGTACCGGACCGGGGACCGGCAACGGGATTGCAACCCTCGGTGTTGCTCCCGCACCCCGCTCAGCCAGTGAGCGGGAACCGGTCCGTATGTGGGATCCGAACCCTCGGACGGGAGCGCCGCCGCGCTTCCCAAGCAGCGCACTATCCAGTGCGCCGCCGGGCCGGCCCGGAATAAGGTTTTTTAAAAAAAAAAAAAAAATCATTTCATTGTTCCTTTCTGAACCGGGACCGGCAACAGGATTGCAACCCTCGGTGCTGCGCCCACACCTCGCTCAGCCAGTGAGCGGGAACTGGTCTGTATATGGGATCCAAACCCTCGGCGGGAGCACTGCCACACTCCCAAGCGGCACACTGTAGCAGTGCGCCACCGGGCCGGCCCCTTCCATTGTTCCTTTCTGCATATTAATTCTTCAAAACTAGACTGAGAACAAAATTAGGCATATTCACAAAAACAGTTTTGGATCTTAAATATGAGTTGTAGCTTAATATCATTAGTTATTCTAATAGGATTTTTAGAAGGATTTATATTTCTGTATATGAAGTTTTGTTGGTGATATTAATATCTGAAGGTAGAACACCAATACCACTTTTTTGCTATGTTATTACAAGTATTTTAAGTCTGTAAAGCCCTAGTACTTCCTTTCCATGTTGTCCCAAAACTCTGGGAGTTATTATTCTTACTTGGATAATGCTTAAAGCCACACAATGCTTAGAATTAAGCCATTGAAATAAAATTTAGTTATTACTGCACTTTCTGATAAGCTCCAACATTACAAAATAAAACCAGTGCTATTATTCTAGAGAAGAAAGTCTAGCTTGTCTCCATTCCCTCAAAGAACTACATTACTGGTAAGGACTAGTGACAAGGAGTAGGAGAAATTTTAGCCCTTTAATTAGTTGCAAGGTATGGTTTTCAAGACAGTGTGTAGAAATATTCGATTGCAGAACTTCACAGATCCTCCAGATGCACACTAACAAACTTAAAAGTGATTTCTGAAGAGTAGAACCAAGTACTACTGTTAATAGTTACAATAGCAGTGTTGGTAGTCGTAGTAGTAACTGAATAATAGCAGTCACTTCTGTAGGACTTAAGTTGTGCCAGGCATTCTTCCCAACACTTCACGTGCATTATTAACTTTATAATCTTCACCACCACATGCAGTAGGTAATATTATTATTCACATTTTACAGATAAGGAAATAGAAGTACCGGTCACAAGATTAGTAAATTTTTTTAAAAAAATAATTGGAGCTTTAACATATCAAGTTAAAGTAGCTTAGTTGACATTATTACAGTGTGAGTAATTTCTGTGATTTTTAAAAATATATCAATAAAAATTCTCAGGAGGTAAAAATGGCCTTTTTCAGTTTTTTGGTTTTTTGGGGTTTTTTTGACCATTAACTCCCCAAAATTGACATAGGTAGACCTTTGTGGCTAAACAAAGCTTAATTATACTAGTAAATTTGAAAGTGAAGTTTCATGATTAAAGACTTTAAAAAGCCATTTGTGTGTCTGCATATACATATACATGAAGAGAGAATTTATTTTTTTATCTTCAGAAATATATGTATTTAATCACTGCTGAGGAACCAGGTTCATTGAGGAAGAGATGCTAGGAAATGTCTTTATTTTAGAGTAAAACCTGAATTCGAAATCACTTTTTTAATTATTAAAATTCTTTTATCCATCAGAGAAACATTTGCTTTAATTTTTTAAATGAACTGTTCTAAGCATAGAGTATACTGTATAAACGCATCAACCAAAATCCCTGCCTTCATGAAACCTGCATTCTGTTTGGCAGCAGAAAATGAATATGTATGTAAATTACATAGTACATTAGAAGGTGATAAATGCTATGGAGAAAAATACAACAGGGAAGTACCTTGGTGGGTGTGGACAAAGATTTGTGAAAGCAAAGCATGCAGACATCTGAGAGGACATGCTCCAATAGATGCAGCAAGTACAAAAACCCTGAAATAGGAACATAGCTGGCATGTTCAAGGAACAGCAAGGAGAGCTTGGTTGGAGATGAATAGAGGGAACAGAGAGCTAGAACATGTAGGCCTTTGGAAGCCACTGTTTAGAGTTTGGTCTTTTTTTTTTTTTTTTTAAGATGACCAGTAAGGGGATCTTAACCCTTGACTTGGTGTTGTCAGCACCACGCTCTCCCAAGTGAGCTAACCGGCCATCCCTATATAGGGGTCTGAACTGTGGCCTTGGTGTTATCAGCACCACACTCTCCCAAGTGAGCCACGGGCCGGCCCAAGAGTTTGGGCTTTACTCAGAGATGAGGAGCTTGTTGGCAAGTTTCGAGCTGAGGAGTGACACGATTTGATTTTAGGCTTTACCAGCTTTATTCTGGCTGCTATGTTGAGGATAAATGTTAGAGGGCATAGGTGGAAGCTGACAGACCTATTTAGAACCTATTGCAATAATTTAGTCAGTAATCCAGTCAGAAGGTGATGGTGGCTTGAATTGGGGTGATTGTGGTAGATGCAATAAAGTAGTCAGATCCTGGGTATATTTTAAAGTTATAGCCAGAAGGATTTGCTGATAGACTACCTGTGTATGGGCCTTAAAGGAGTCAAAATTGCTACAAGTTTTTGGCCTGAGCAACTGAAAAAATGGACTTATGGTTAATTAAAATGAGGAATGCCACAGGAGAAGCAGGTTTGGGGGATGGGGGCAAGGGGACCACATCAGGTATATCAGAATCCTAGTTTTAGATATGTTAAGTTTGAGATACCTCCACTTAAATGTTTAATAGATATGCAAGTTTAGGATATGCAAGTCTGGGGTTCGGGGCTGGGATGGAGAGGAGAGTGGGGGACGGCAGAGTGAATTAAAGAGAGAAATAAATTAAAGAGTTATCAGCATGTCACGGATATTTAAATCTGTGAAACTAGATGAATCACCAAAGGAATAAGTATAGATAAAGAAGAGGAGCAAGGACTGAACCCTGAAGTACTCTAACTTGGAGTGTTAAGGAACCAGGCAAGGCGGGTGTAAGGAGTGAACAGTGAGGTAAAATGTAAACCAAATGTGTGGCCTGGAAGTCAAGTGAAGCTTTTCACAGTGTGAAAGTGGAAGGGGGAGTGATCACTGGATCAATAAGTGAGATGAGGACGGAATTGACCGTTGGATTTAGGAACACTGAAGTCATCACTGGTCTTGACAAGAATAGTTTTGGTGAAATAGTAGGGGCAAAACTTGTTTATAATGTAAAGACTGAAAGGAGAAGAATTGTGACAGTAAGCTTAGGTAAGTCTTTCGTTGGATTTAGGAACACTGAAGTCATCACTGGTCTTGACAAGAATAGTTTTGGTGAAATAGTAGGGGCAAAGCTTGTTTATAATGTAAAGACTGAAAGGAGAAGAATTGTGACAGTAAGCTTAGGTAAGTCTTTCAAGGAGTTCTGGTGTAAAGAGAAACAGAGAAATGGGACAGTAGCTAAAGGAGAAAGCAGGGCCTAGCAGTTGTTTGTTTGTTTTTTAAGGTAGGAGAAATAAGAACATGTTTGTAAGCTAATGGGAATGATACAGTAGATGGATAAAATATAACATGGGAGAGAAAGGGAAGAATTGCTAGAGTGATATCCTTTAGAGGCAAAAGGAGATGAGATTTTGTGCACATGTGGAAGAATTTAGCCTAAGGAACATAAATAGTTTATCTGTAATAAGAAGAGAAATGACCTAAAGTGTGGAAGTTTCCTGATTGTTTTTTTCCCCTCTCAGATAAAAGGAAGCAAGCTTATCAGCTGAGTGTAAGGGTTAGGGGAGAATTGCTGGAATTTTGAGGATGGATGAGAGGGTATGATATTAGTCATCAGGACAATGGAAAATGAAAGTGAATGGACTAAAGAAATGTAGAGTAATTGCCAGGCAGCATTGTGGACCCACCTAAGGTTCCTAATCATAAGCTGAATAGCAGAAGAAACAATATGGTTTTGTATTTTTCTCCTGTCACAATAGATACATAGATACTGAGTAGGAAAATTGGGAGGTTTTTATCAAATGAGTACAGTGAAGTGAGGGCATAAAAGATGAGAGCACATACAAGGGGGTGATTATAATAGTTAACCTTGGACATGAAGAGAGTGTTAGTAAGATTACAGATTTTGGTAGGTTTGTTGAAGTGAGAGTACTAGAAAGAAAAGGGCAATGATCAGAGAATGGGATGCTGGAAATTATGCTCATTGGATGGTCATAGTTATTGGAATTGATAAGGTCTAGATATGACCATAGAAATGGGTAGCTGAGCTAGGACCAGATATAGAATCACTAGAAGAGAAGAGTTCATGGATCAAAGAGGCTAAAGTGTTGGAAGAATTGTCTATATAGATATTAAAACCACTAAGAATTAAGATACAGTATCAGTGAGCCAGGAACTAAAATCTTCTAGAAATGGAAGGAAGGTAATGAGGCATCTGTAGGTGGTTGGAACAAGAGATAGTGAGTAGTATGTAGTAGAATAACATGAAATTGAAAGATTGGATAGAATCAGTTAAGGAAAAGATTTTGAAAGTGATAATGAGGCAGATAGGACTCCTACTCCATTCACCTCTAGATTCAATGATAAGAAGCGTGTGGGAGATAAACACTAGCATAAGGGGGTGAAAGGAAGGTTTAGAGAAGAGTTTAAAGGGAATTTTATGAAGGCTGATTGTGATTTCCAGATGGCACAATGGTCAGAAAGAGAAAAGGGAAGTTTTATTTTCTAGAGGGATGAATTTCACCTAGCTTACCAGATGAAAGGTCTTTTATATTTTAACTAATGGATTTATTACAACTTAAATATGAATTGTTATAGGTAATTTCTGACCATAGATGTTTGAATTAGAGTGATTAAGGCCAGCCGTTTTATGCTGTTTTCCACTGAGTATTATTGGGGAAACAGTAGCCTTAAAATAAGTTGAAAATTCTAATTATCTTTGAACTGTGTATAAGCTTATCAATCATAAGATTTCACTGATTTCTAATAAAACTTTTATTTTTCCCTAAAACAGAACAAAATGAACTTGTGAAATTTGCCCTGTTGTCCCACTGAGTCTTCTGTTTCATTATGATAATTTTCAGTCATAACATATTATTTTTGAATGTCTATCTCCTCACTTGTGTGCACGTCCTTAATGGTATTGTTTCATTTTTATATAGTAGTCATGCCAAACATGTAGATACCCAATAAATATTTGTCATTTGAATCCATAGGAAAATGTGATTAGACTGGTTTTGTGGAAGAAAAGTTGAGATATTCAAATATTTCTCAAAGAATTAACTTGAGAAAGCTTCATTTTTGTGATGGTATCTAATATTTAAGTAGCTTCTCATTTATATTTTTTAATAATTTATAAAGAGAAGAAAATATTAAACATACTAATAGGTTTTTGGCAGTGTGTAAGGATAAACTGTATTTTCTGGGGGAAAAAATAACCATTATGTTTTAAAAATATTTTTAAGTTAATATTATAAAGACAGCTTCAAGACAAATTTTCAAGGATTTATATTTGAATACTATCTGAATAATCTCTAGTATAGTTGGCCCAAGAGGGAAAACACAAACTTTGTCATTAAAGTACGGATGATCCCTGACCTTATGATGGTTGAACTTACAATTTTTCGACTTTACGGTGGTGCTAAAGTGATATACATTCAGTAAAAACTGTACTTTACGTACCCATACAACCATTCTGTTTTTCACTTTCAGTACAGTATTCAGTAAATTACATGAGATATTCAGCACTTTATTACAAAATGGGCTTTGTGATAGATGATGTTGCCCGATTGTAGGCTAATATGTGTTCTGAGCACATTTAAGGTAGGCTAGGCTAAGCTATGATGTTCGATTGGTTAGGTGTATTAAATGCATTTTTGACTTATGATATTTTCAACTTACGATGAGTCTGTTGGGATGTAACCCCATCTTAAGTTGAAGAGAATCAGTGTTATTAACATTTGTAAATCTTTTTCCAATGTGGAGGTTGGTAGAAAGTAAACAGTGCCACCAAGTGGTGGTATTAAGGAACTTTAATCACTTGGAAATAGGTAATTGGCCTTTTTCTTTTCAACAGTTTTCCATCCAATTATCTTTGCAACAACAATCAGACTTCTGTGACACCTAATCCATCTGTTTTATCAAATGCAATTGGTTCTTCTGACATGGCTTCAACAAGTGGCCTAGTAGTCAACTCTCCTTCCAACCTCAATGACCTTAAAGACTGTAGTGGCAGCAGGAAGGCCAGGGTTCTTTATGATTATGATGCTGCAAACAGTACTGAATTATCACTGCTGGCAGATGAGGTGAGTAATGTGGGTATGAAGAAAAATATATCACAAATTGACATACCTTCTAATAGGAGAGGACTTCAAAAAGTTCATTGAAAATGGAATTAAAAGATAAAACTAAAAAATATAAACTTTATTTCTCGACATAAGCTTCATCAAGTTTAAGACACTTGTAAGCAATGATACTAGCCATTAAGTCCATCCCTAAAGAACTAAGGGTCCTTTCAATTTAACCATGTCACTACAGTCTTTTTTACATTATTAACTGAAGAAAAATGGGTGCCCTTTAAAGATTTTGTTAGATTAGGAAACAAAAAGACATCAGAAGTCAAATCAGGGCTATAAGGTGGATGCCTAATGATTTCCCATTGAAACTCTCACAAAATTGCCCTTGTTTGATAAGAGAAATGAGCAGGAGCATTACTGTGTTGGAGAAGGACTCTCTGGTGAAGCTTTCCCAGGCTTTAGTTTTTCTGCTAAAACTGGCTAACCTTCTCCAAAAACTCTCATAATCAGATGTTATCATTCTTTGGCCCTCCAGAAAGTCAACAAGCAAAATGCCTTGAGCATTCTGAAAAACTATTGACCTTTGCTTTTGACTGCTCCACTTGTGCTTTGACTGGACCACTTCCACCTCTTGGTAGTCATGGCTTTGATTGTGCTTTGTCTTCAGGATCGTGCTAGTAAAGCCATGCCTCATCTCTTGTTACAGTTCTTTCAAGAAATGCTTCAGGATCTTGATCCCACTTGTTTAAAATTTCTGTTGAAAGTCTGTTCTCTGCCACTGATCTGGGTACCCATCAAGCAGAAAGAAAATTGCTCAGTTTCATCGATACTCTTTAGTTAGGCACAAACAAGATTAATTTTTTTCCTCACCAATTGATGTGGATGGTCTGGTGCTGTGGACTTTACCTTTAACATCATCTCATCCCTTCTTAAAATGAGTTATCCATTTGTAAACTACTGGTTTCTTTGGGGTATTGTCCCCATAAACTTTTCATAAAGCATCAGTGATTTCACCATTCTTCTACCCAAGCTTCACTATAACTTTGATGTTTGTTCTTGCTTCAATTTTAGCAGAATTCGTGTTGCTCTGTTAGGGGCTTGGGGCTCTTTTCAATCTACTATCTTAACCTTCTTAGTGCCTCAAACCTAGATCCTGTTCAGACATGTTATAATGAGTTAGTATAAGTTTGTTTTGGTGAAAAAAAATTTTGAAATCCATGCAACATAGTTTTTCATAATATACATTTTCCATGAACTTTCTGAAGATCCCTCATATAGCAAAATGCAAATTTCTCATTACTTATTTGGAAATAGTTGATTGTGAATGCTTCATAGATTGCAGATGGATATGTTAACATTTTATAAAAATGTAATTACTGTTCTTTAACACAATAGAACATTACAGAAATGTTTAAAACTTAACTGCTAAATAACTTAAAGACATGCCACCACTAAAATCCTTTATCTTTCAGCAAAATTGATAATAATGTTTAAAGTCCTTTGATGTCAATATAGTCTTTTTTACATTATCAACTGAAGAAAAAAAATGGGTGCCCTTTAAAGATTTTGTAAGATTAGGGCCGAGCCCGTGGCGCACTCGGGAGAGTGCGGCGCTGGGAGCGCAGTAGCGCTCCTGCCACGGGTTTGAATCCTATATAGGGATGGCCGGTGCACTCACTGGCTGAGTGCAGTGCGGCCAGTCTCAGAAAGGACAAAAAAAAAGATTTTGTAAGATTAGGAAACAAAAAGACATCAGGAGTCAAATCAGGGCTATAAGGTGGATGCCTAATGATTTCCCATTGAAACTCACAAAATTGCCCTTGTTTGATAAGAGGAGTGAGCAGGAGCATTGCTGTGTTGACAGTGAATAGTTTAAACAAATTAAATACAAAACTGATTCGTTTTCTATGTGTTTATTTTTTAATATAGTTAATAACTGAAAATATTTTATTTTCTAGGTGATCACTGTGTTCAGTGTCGTTGGGATGGATTCAGACTGGCTAATGGGGGAAAGGGGAAATCAGAAGGGCAAGGTGCCAATTACTTACTTAGAACTGCTTAATTAAATAGGTGGACTATGCAAAGATTACTTATCATGACATCATATTTATACACAGTTAACCTCTAAATAAAGCAGGTTTAAGTATCTTCCATGTTAATGTCTTCAGAGACTGAAAAGAAAATTACCAGCCATCAGAAACTGGCCTTTCTGCCGATAAAGTTGCATGGTAAATATTTCATTACAGAATTTATGTTAGAGCTTTCATGCCAAGAATGTTTTCTTTTAAAATTCTCTTTACTGAGGCTTCACTAACAAGCAGCTTCTACTTTTGAGCCCAAACTTAAGGCAGAAGAACTGTTTTCTACTGAATTTTTCATTAACGGCAAGCTTTTTCTTTTATGTAAAATAAACTTATTGTGAATTAATATCAGTGACTCATCTATTAGGTATAATTATTAGCCAAAGAATAAAATTGAAAATTGTTTTAAACTTCTGGTTTGAAAAGAGCTCTAGAATTTAAACCTCTTTTGTGAAGAATATGTTTCTAAATGCCTCCATAAACAGAAATGCAATTATACCATGTTTACCTTGTTTTCTAATAGAAATCAAATGATTTCTATTATTTTGATGGGTTATTTGGGGGGTTTTTGTTTATTTTTTTAAAACACTACTGAATGGTTTCTTTTAATGACAACCAGTCCTTGAAAAGCGTTATCATATTTCTCTGATACATTTATAGTTAAAGTTCTCAAACATCTGGGACAAATTCAGTTTGCTAAACATAATGTTTAAGATTATTCAGTTGGCACAATTTAATGCGTAATCACTTGGATTCATTAAGAACATACTGAAATACAGTAAAAAGGATTTGTTCCTATTGAACAACAAATCTGTATGAAAATATGGATTAGTGCAACTACATTCATTATAAATTGTGTACAAACAAATCTTTGATTACTCTGAGCTTACTTTAAAATTTTTTAAATTTATTAATGAACGTAGGTTATCTTGGTCAGGATCTCTGGTTATGAAATACACAGTTATGAAATTATTGGTGACATATTTGAAGCTAGAGAATTGCTGTTTGGGCCATTGCTTTGAATCAGCAATGGCTATAAATTAGGAAATTGGCAGATTGTTTCCATGTTAGTTAGGACTTCTGTTCTCATTCATTCATTCAGTAAACATTTGTTGAGGGCCAGGTACCATGCTGATCAACCGAGGATACTATGCTGAACAAGAGGCACACAGTCCTTGCCCTTGCAGAACTTAAAGACTGGTAAAAGATACAGAAAAGTAAACAAGCACTTGTCCTATAACAGGATCAGCATTACGGTGTAAGATATATAGAGTACCATGTTTGGGAGTCACCTAACACAGATTTGAGGGATGAGTGTTGGTTTGGAGAGGAAGTGTTCCAGGTAGAGGCAAAAAGATAATACCAGGCTAGAGCCAAGAGAGGGTAGCACATTCTGATAACTAAAAGTAGTTCAATCTGGCATAAGCATGAAGTGCAAAAGTGTAGTTCATTTATTCAGGGAATGTTAATCTATCAAAATGAGATTTTTTGGTACTTTAAAAAAATAATGAATACTTACTCATCATTTTAAAATATCCTTTTGTATTAAGCGCCTAATAAGAGCTTGGTAAACATGTTAATAATTTATTTCACAGTCCATACTTTAAGTGTAGTTGTGACCCTTTTTTTTTTCTGTTCTATGAGACAAATTTCTCTGCAGTTTTATGGTTGTATAAAACATTTTGACTTACAGTATGAATTGCCATATTCTTAACCCCAAAAGCTGCTCAAGCTGGTTAGTTTTCTATAGAACCAAGTGAATTAAGTATTTTTCCTCCTTAAGAGTGGACGTTCTACAGCCTAGAGTACTATCTATTATATAAGACCAGATTTAGGCTTTGAAACATCATACCAAAAATTCAAGTCAATGTAAACAGCAACTATAAATTAGGTTTTGGGAAGTAGAGTAATTAAGGGGAAAGAATATGGGTAATGGAGTGAAGTGGTCCTGGATTCAATCCCAGTCTTGCTCACTTACTGTACTCTTTGAGCTTCAGTTCAGATGTATAACTGCTGTTTCCTTACCTGTAAAGTGGGGATAATAATTATGCCATCTTAGGGTTGTTGAGAGGATAATATAGCAAATGTTACCTTGTATGTTAGGTGCTTTTTAGGGAAAGGTTTGGCACATAAGAAACATTTTCTGTAAATGTCAGTTTCCCAAGCTGGCCAGTTGGCTCAGTTGGTCAGAGTGTGGTGCTGATGATAACACCAAGGTCCAGGATTTGATCCCTGTACCAGCCAGCAAAAAAATAAATATAATTTTCCCCTTGTTAGCCCCTATAGCTTCCTGACCTGCCCAAACTGTGGACATGTTTGTGACTGTGTACCAGAGATATCTCTTTTACATTCATTCTCTGTTTACTCCCTGTCATCCTCCAGCCTTGTTAAGTCAGACCCAGGTCTAGGTTTAATCTGACCCCACTTGGTATAAAAAAAATTTTTTTTTTTTTGGTGCAAGCTGGCCAGTACTGGGATCTGAACCCTTGACCTTGATGTTAAGTGTAAATTCTTTACTGGGACCTTCTGCTTTCTGTCAGGCATATGTTGATTATAGAACCCAACAATGTATAGAAGCCTTCAATAACGTTAAGGTTCAAGGGCTTCTTGTACCTTTGTCTACCACAAATTTACCACAATATGTAGGCTTGTTCTTATGTTTATTGCTTTTTATTTTAATAGGGTTTTGTTTGGTTGGTTGGTTGGTTGGGGGGTTTTTTTGGTTTGTTTTATTTTGATTTTGACTTATTTAAAGTAATAGGTTTAGTTTTTACTCAGGTAAAGGCCTGTGTAGGTTCTTAGGCATGGAAGAAAAAACTTTAGGAAGCGTACTGATTCATGGTGCAATTCAGAATTGTTTAAGTACAAACAAAAAAAAGTGATTGGGTTGCATCTACCTCTGTTCTTAACCCAAAATGTCATGGTGTCAAAACTTTTTTTATGGTGCTAATCAGAAAAAATACATTGCAGGAGATGAGGTTCTAAAATGGAATGTGCCTCACTCTGGGTAACATGGGAAATAAGAAACCTGAGGCCAGGATCACCAGTGTGTTAGAGTCTGTCCTTATAGTCTGCTGTTATCCTCCACCAGAACAAAGGAACAAAATGAGACTGGGGAAGCTGCTATGGGAAGACATTTCTGAGAATAATCTGTGGAGTAGAGAAGACGATGAAGGGCAGGATAAGAAACCACAGAGTCGATTATACCCAGAGGGGCCTAGCTTACTCCTTGCTTTGTTGACTGGATTCCTGAAAAATTCCTTCTCTATCTCCCAAACGCCTGACATTTTAAAAATATGTTGCCCTCATGTGTAGCACTTCAAGCCTGGTTGAGGAACCATAATGGGGAGATGGCTTTACAGTTTGGCCTAAAGACAACTTTGCCTCAACCCCTTCTCCAGATGATTGAGTGGCTTTTACCTCAGGATGAGACTCAAAAATAGGGGAGGGAGTTCCACGACCACACCTGCCCTCTCTCCCACATCATGCTAATTAAAAAGTCCACTCAGAGCAGTGGTTCTGGAAGTGTGAGGCCCCAGAACAGCAACATTAGCATCACCTGGAAACTTGCTTAAAATGCTAATTACTATTTCCAACCACTTTCTACCTTCATTTGTACTTATTTTTTGTCTTCAAGGGCCTATGGAACTGGTCTTGTTCTCTCATGTGACAGCTTTTTAAATGTTTTAAAACAAAAACTAAGTTCTGATTTCTACTATGTTCTAGCACTAATCTTAATTGTAATTATATAGTTATTTTTATAATTTGTTTACTATATATCTTTCACTCTAGAATGTATGTTCCCTGAGATAGAGACTACAATTCTTTTGATCACAGTTAAATTCCATATTCTTAGCACAGGACCTAATACATAGTAAGTACTCAATAAATGTTTGTTGAATGAAAGAAAAAATGCAAATTTATAAGCTTTCCCCAAGACCTACTGAATTAAACTCTGGAGGTGGGGACCAGCAATCTGTTATAATAAGCCATTTGAGTGATTCCGTTGCACTCTAAAGTTTGAGAACCACTGCAGTAGAACTAAGAGAACTTGCGTTTCACCTTCAGGCCTACTATCTGATGTCACTTGAAAAAATTCTCCCTGCCTTCTGTAACTCTTACCAACAACACTCTCTCTCAGGTGTACGGGAATCTTCTGGGATATATTACAAGTGGGTATGAAGGTATAAGAATATGTATAGTATAAGTAAGGGAAATATTGCTTAGAATGCCAGTACTTGGTTACTGTGGAAGGTTTCCAGGAATGGATCCCTTAGTCTGAAGAAGGGTATAATAAGCACTACCACCACCCACATTTTCACTTAGCACAGTGCCTTTTAATTGAACTACTTAACATCTGAACTCCCTGACAAACTTAAGGCCTTATCAGACTAACATATGTGTACACCCATGTTCCTCCCAGGTTACGAAGCCCTGCCCTCATTCCTACTTAAGCGAAACTTTTTAACAATCATTAATGCTTTTTTATAATACAAGTCATACCCATGTTGACAAAAAGAAAAAAAAAGTTAAAAAGATAAAAATCATCTCCAATTCTACCATCCAGGAAGAACCACTATTTTTTAGGTATATGGCCTCTCTGTGCATTTATAGATTTTTTAATGGGATCAAATTATACGTACTGTTTTGTAACTTTTTCACTTAGCAATACCATGACTATATTGCTGTGTCAAATATATTTCTACATCTTTTTTAATGGCTGCATGACATTTCATCGTATGTGCCACATTTTATTAAACTACTGTTGAATTTTTAGGTTTCCAGATATTCACTAATAAACTGCTTTAAAGAACATTGTGTTGCTAAATCTTTTATGTGTTCTTAATTATTCCCTTAAGATGAATGCTTTGAAGTGGAATAGTGGAGAGCATGTGCCAGTTTATAAAAGCTTTTATTACCTACTTCCATGTTGTCCCCTAGAAAAGTTTCAGGAATTTATATTTTTATTCAGCAGTAGATATATGAGAATACTGTTTCTTTTTGGAGGGCTTTCAACTGAATGTTCTTGGGGTCTTTGGTTTAAACATAAAGGGTAAGAGGGGAAAAAGAAACCTTGCAAAATTAAAAAGATTAAAAGATCAGTCTTAAATTTTTCTGACATGATGTCATTTACTGTTCTCCCTTCTGTCATGTACTATGTGATACTTTGGGAATGTTCATAGTATTAGCTGCCTCTTTTATTCAGTCTCCTGGAAGCATTATCTCCTTGCTGATTTGCTGAGATGGTAGAAGAACACCCTTAAGTAGACTGGAATCTTGTGGTAGCTTTGATGTAGGCTTACTTACTGTTGATGGTTTTCAGGAGCATGGCTGTCGTGGAGAAAGTAGGACTTTGGAAGGTAGTCAGAACACTGGCTCTCCTGTTTGGTTGCCTGGCTTTGTGTCAGTC